CTTTTTTATTTGATTTGAAAGTAATAGCTGGTGCAATAGGATGGTAACACAATTCGCTACAAATGAAGGTGTAGATCTTGAATAAGGTGGTGGTAACAATAGTGTTTCTTGCACCAAGCACACATTACTCAGAAAAGGAATTCAAAAATCTGAAACTGATTAATCAGAATGTAATAGTGAGATGATCTTTATTATCACAGTCCGTAATAGCTCAGTGGATAAGAGCACGGTATGGCATGCCGTAGGCCCTAGATCGTATGATTTTTTTCAAATTCTTTTTGCACAATTCAGATGCACAACTAACGTAGTTTAACTTCTTGAGCATTTTTCAGATCGCTTTACAGAACAAGAACGACGGACCAGTTAGTGGTCTCCTTACTTCTTGTTATTCCTGCATATGTATTTTTTCATCATTATTTTTAAATATAAAATATGCTACATAAATTGGATTGACACTTCGTTTAATTTAAACTATTGATGGAGTGCTTGTCTCACTTAAGTAAACAACCCGGGTTGAACGATATTTTTTGATATTATTATTTTTATTATTTGATTGAATTTTGTATGATGAGACATGACATTATTTACAGTGTAATCGATACACTACGAGTCACTATACAGTAGTTTAACTTTGTTGACTAAATAATATGAAAATATATTTCTGTGATAATGCTTTCGTTGAACTAAGCAAATAAAAGCTAAATTTTTGAGCTACTTTTGAATATTTTAGTATGAAATCAGAACTGTTTTGTTTTGATATTTGTTGAGCTTTTTCTACTGCAGAAAATGTACCGGTAAATTGACCATAATAAAAATAAAAATAAAGAAAATAAGGTAAAGATAATTAGAATCCATGTGAATTGAATCTCTAAACCAGAAGAAATAAAGTATGGAAATCGATTATCATATGTAACTAAATGTTCATAACCAGTTAATAACCAGTTATCAATTAATATAACAACTGTAGAAGCACCACCACTTAATTCACTTAATTGATGCATTTTAGTCAATTGTTTAAGAATAATGGAATAATTAATAGGATCAAGTATATAATGAATCTTTTCTGAAATTTCTAACGATGTAATTGTATCTCGATGAATAGCTAATCCTAGTTGATATTCTTGTATTTTAACTGCATTCGCATATTGATCACCAAAACTAGGCATAACAATCATTGGGATATGTGCATATATTGATTCTGCCACAGTATGTAATCCACCGTGATTAAAAAATATTTTAATTGCTTTATGATTTAATACATGTTGTTGATTGATCCAACTTTTAATTAGTAAACGATCTGATGTTATATTTGGATTGGATTTTAAAATATTTTTAATTGCTTTATCATTCGTAGCTAATAATAATCGCATATTTTTAACTAAATATATTGTTTGTATTATTTCGTTCCAAATACGTTGATTGATAATTGTAATTGTGCCTACAACAACAAGCATAACAAATTCATTATTTTCTGTTTTATTTAGCCACATATCAATATCATAATCATCATTCGTCAATTCTAAGTTTGAATTTGATGATTCAATCACAAATCCTACAAAATGATAAATTGGAATATATGATCGTCGAAACTCAAAAGCTACCGGATTTGGAATAATAATTGGATTATTTCGATTGAGTAGTGGGAAAAATGAAACGTTTACATTTAATCGCCGACGAATATGAGTTAGTTTTTTGATAGTAGGCATAAAATAGTACACCATCTGTAATGAAATAATTATTTTTTGATGAAATCTTGTCCAGTATGATTGTTTCATTTGTGTTAGTGTTGTTAAATCAAATCCACTTGGTAGCCATGCGGGTAGATTCAGTTCTTCTCCAATATTACTGTTACAGGAATATATCACATACGATATATTTAATTCATAAGCTAAATCATACGCAGCAAATGAAAACACATCTATTACAAATAAATCATAGTGATTTGTTTGTAAATGTTGTCTTAAACCTTTATACATCGGTTCATAAAGTGATAATATTAATGGAAAAGAAAAACGACTTAAAAATTGTAAATTTGATTCATATTCAACTGCAGCATCATATTCAGTGTTTGTATCATTTAATGAAGCGAGACTGATGGTATTAAATTGATTATCAAATGATGATTTTGATTTTAATAATCCAATTTGTTTATCAAACAGAGCAAATGTGCAATGATGACCCATTTTTTGTAGTTGTTTTGCTAGTGGTATTAAACTAATCAAATGTGAATATAATGGAAATGGAACAAATAATATTTTTGATGATGATGCTCTAGTATGAACTGCATTACTCATAGCAGTAATGTCATTGCCATTACCAACAACAGTAACAATAATAATAATAATAATAATATACAATAATGAAATTGATCGATTACTCATTTTAACAACAGACTTCACTCCCTGAACAAAAGAAAAGATTATCTTCAAACTCTATCTATTTTACTTATTCTTTTTCATTTAATGAATTGCGAATAATTTTTTTCATTTTATTTTAGTTTTTATTAAAGAAAAATCAATGGAAAGTTGATCATGCATCCTACTTTTTAATAGTGCGAATATGGGTACAACACATAACGCCTAATAAACGTATTTATTAGTTTTGATGGATATTTTATAAGCACTTATTTGACAGTGTGTTCACTGAAGCATATCGTCTCTATTTCATAGCTTATGTACCGTTATATTACAAAAAGGAAATCTTACAAAAATTGAAGAATTCTGTATTTCTTGTTCTTTTAATTGTAGCGACATTATCATGCATTCTTAAATTATCCATCATTCGAACGAGCACCAAAAGCTCAACAAAACCTGATATTGCTTAGATCTTAAATAAGTTTTTTTGATGATATCATCACGTTTAGTGGACAAAACTAGTTTTATGAGTGAATGATCAATTTTTAATATTATGTGAAAAGAACCTGAAATTGAAAAAAATTTGAAAAAAATCATACGATCTAGGGCCTACGGCATGCCATGCCGTGCTCTTATCCACTGAGCTATTACGGACTGTGATAATAAAGGTCATCTCACTATTACATTCTGATTAACCAGTTTCAGATTTTTGAATTCCTTTTCTGAGTATATCGACAACTAAAGACAGAGCACTCTCGAGAGCAGAACAACTTCAAAGTCACTATGAAATATAAATGTCTTATAGTCAAACATTGAGTTTCTTACTGTTTCGCTGAGTAAAACAGAATCGTTAAATTATTCCTTGTCCAGAATAATTTAAAATTAACTCTTCTGAACAGTCTTGCAAGGACACAGTATGTCAGAAGCTTCTTATCAAAATTCAGTAAGAATAAGCATTTTGTAACACGTCTATCACAAACAGAACTTTTCATCACTTTCTTATGACTTTCTTATCAGATTCTTATAAGACTCTTATCAAACTCCATTAACTTTCGGCGTAATCTTATATAAGAATTTGATAAGAATCTGGTAAGATTCGTATCAGAATTGTAGAAGATTTTGTGTCTCGAGCATGTGAGAAGAGGTAAGGCAAAAAATAGAAAACTAAATACTAAATAAAACGAAAGGACTAGAGCATTAAGTGTACCAGACTTAATACTCTCCCCTCCCCAGAAACATGTAACATCCAGCCGAAAGATATAACGGCTAGAAGAAGATAGACAGACAGTCTCGAAAAGATGTAACGATCCAATTCGCTCCACTATTATTACAATTTCCTGATGACTCCAAATCCTTAATTTTATCGACCGATGCTTCCAACTAGGTGTTGGCGGAATGCTACACCAGGAAATTAATGGTAAAAGAAGGAATATCTATTATCACTCACAACTTTTTTTCTCAGATTTTGTACTTAAAATCAAAGAAGAATTTGGATTTAGGCAGCCAGAAGCGTTTGAAAAACTGAAAAACTACCAGCAGATCGTAAGCCAAGCAGTGGCGGAATATCATGCAATCGTGATGGATATTTGTCGTGAAATTGATCCACCGCCAATTTAAGACGGCATTTACTTGCGCTTTCTGATTCAGTTGTATCAGCGATTTGTGATCGGTTTCTAATATGAATTCACGTCCGTCTAAATATTTATGCCATTTTTCAATTGTGGACAGTATCGCTAAACATTCTTTTTCAGGTGTAGACCAAGTTTTCTGAGGTGATGAGAACTTTTGCGATAAGTACGCGACGGGTAAATCACCGTTTGGATGTGTCTGCATTAATACAGCACCGATACCCTCCTGTGACGCGTCAGTTTGAAGTCTAAATGGTAATTTCTCATTTGGAATTCGAAGAATAAGATCGTCGATTAAAATGTGCTTGAGTTCGTTGAACGCTTTGATATTGTCTTCGATCAACATAATTTTTGCTGGTTATTATCGGATTCCATCGTGCTTAACTTTTGGAGCATATTTGTAGAGTGGTAAAGCGATTTGTGAAAATGAAGGATAAATTTCTGATAATACTCGGCCGCTTTGACAAATCGATACGCTTGTTTTGCACTTGTTGGTAACGGTGTGTCGAGCAACCCGCGGGTTTTCGCTGCATCAGGCATGATGTTCTCATGTGCAATTCAATTCGATGACAAAGAAAATTGATTGCTTGATGTGCAATATTGTATTTGTCAATATTGAGACGGAAGTTCGCTTCACTGAGACGGTTGAGAATATCGTCAAGATGCGTCAGATGTTCATCAGATGATCTAGAATAAATAATAACATCGTCAAGATATGCGAGACTAAACTTCCACGGGCTGCGTCCAAGAATTTGATTATCGATACGTTGAAAAGTTGGGGAACCATTTGTGACACCTTGAGGTAATACGGTAAACTGATAGCGATTATCACGGGTTGAGAATGCCGTCTTCGGACGATCTTTGCGATCGAGTGGAATTTGGTGATATCCAGATTTGAAATCGAGAGTTGTAAAATATTCCGAATCAGACAGATTATCAAAAATAATATTGATTCTTGGCAACGGAAATCGGTCTTTGGTCGTGATTTCGTTTAGTTTGCTGAAGTCGACACAAAACCGAATACCACCGTGTTTCTTTTTTACGAGCACGACATTTGATGACCATGGCGATGTTAAGTGTTCAACGATTCCTTGCCGGAACAATCTGGCTGTTTCCTCCGTAAGCGTTTGTTCAACTTGGTATGATCGACGGTATGGTGGCGTATAAATTAGCTTGTGAGATCCTGTATCAATTGCATGATATAATATGGTTTTTATGACGGAGGACTCACGTGTGTCGATTAATTTGAGAGTATCGATTTGGTTGCGCGTATTCTGTGGATAACACTGTTGGCGCAGATGTGTAAAAAGATTATTCCTCGTTAAGTATGTCTTTTGGCAAACAAAGCATTTATTTTCGTTCTAAGCGTACTTTGAATGAGTTGATCAACATGATCGGTCCAACGAACCACGGGTGGTTTTCTGCTGTCGTAATCGATCCGCGAAGTCCCGGACGATCTTCTCCGATAGGGGTAATGCAAGACAAATTTTTACCAGTGATATCACGCCTAACTTTGTATTCTTTGCAAGGGTGTGTTGCCGATCGTTCATGTTCATAATGGGTATGTATGTAATCCCATCTGAAATATTGACGAGCGCGCTGGATAGCAAAATAGCTTTTTGTTTAGCATGTCCTAACGGTCCAAATATCACACCTAGCATTATTTAGCTGGACTTTAACTGCAACGAGTAATTCGGAACGCGGTGGGATTGTAACCTGATTGACGAGGAACACGGGGTAATGATGGTCAGATGGTGAAATTAATGAAGTGGATGTGAGCAATTTTTTATTGTTACAGATATAACAGTGGATAATAATAGTGGAGCATTCGGTTCCGTTAAAGAAGTGAAATGTATAAAAGATCCATTGCCTGATTTTCTCATTGTCCCATCATCGTCAGCTGATACAAATATCAAATCAGTATCATATCGTGTCGCTTTAAAAATTATTAACAAAAAATGTGCCCATAAAATGAAACAAGAAGAACATGTTGTCAATGAAAAACGTATATTACAAGCATTGCACTTTCCCTTTATAATTAAATATTACTTTTCATTTAAAGACAATACCAATTTATATATTGGTCTAGAATTAATTGAAGGTGGAGAATTATTTCCACATTTAAGAGAAGCCGAACGATTTGACGACAAAAAAGCAAAATTTTATTCAGCACAAATAACACTTGCTCCGGAATATTTACATTATCTAGGTAAGCAACCCGTGTCGCACATTTGTTGAGAATACCTCCGGTTACCGGCGGTTCAACGAAATACCACCGGTTGGACCGAACCGCTCGGTATACTCTGCGGTTTAGCGACGGTTTTTTCTTCTACCGGCGGTTACCGCACGGTAGTTTTCTGACCGCAGTACAAGAAAAAACCGTCGGTAAACCGTTTTTACACAATCACCTTTTGGTTTTGCGGTTGTCAGTCTATATAAGAAATGCAGAAAAGTCAAAAAACTTTGATCTTCTTCAGATTAAACTTTCTCTTTCAGATTACAGAGACTCGTTGAAGTTTGCACTTTGACTTGAGTCAAGTTTTTCCCATTTGGAAACCTTATTGGGTTGCATGCGCATGGCAAAGAAAAGAAAGCTGAGAACTAGATTCGAACTCCTGTACTGTTTGCTCACACTGATAAAATACCGATTGATACTGTTGATACAACCGACCGGTATACCGCGCGGTTCGGTAGACTGTGCGGTAGTTTCACATGTCCATTGGGTTAATCTCCCATTATACTCGGCGGTGACCGCTGCGGTAACCGCTGCGGTAACCGGCGGTATTTTAGCGGTTCTGATGACATGGGAAAGTATAGATCATAATTACCTCTTTTATGTCACGCAGGACGATGGCTAGCAGCTGAGAAAATCAGTGTTTGATAAAAATGAGGGTTCCATTACATATTGTTAGTATCAAAAAGGCTTGAATTTAATGTCTTGTATCCTTAATATTGGAGAAGCTGTGAAAAAATAGCACTTGTTATTTTTCATTATAAACTAAATGTCTTATACATTATTCATCTAACAAATTTTTGACGATGATGAGTATTTTACTGGTTCAGTTCTTTTTGTCGTGCGAAAACGTCCGATTCAAAACTGGAACATCATAATTAAGTTTTCACACTTATGACCACACCAACGACAAAAGCTCCGGATAGCTAGCTACAGAACTCGAATTTCTACCAAATGTATGATTAAAAGTTAAGATTATGAGCGGTAGTCTTCGTCTCAGGTGTAAAGTCTTTCGATTTTTTAAAAACTTCCTATACAAATTAGAGCCTTCTATCATCATCTCTACGACGCCTACGAAGTTTTATAGTATTGAGCTCAAGTTATAGCAACAATGATAAAGACAACCATTAAAAAATTTCAGGCATAAGAATTTCAGGCATAATCCAGCATGGTTGCTGCCGGATTTTACCGAATTCCGACAACTTCCGGCATGTTCCGATGTTGGACCTGCAGGATCCCGATGCCAGAATCAACGACCTGAGCTGCCTCAAAACTGGTCAGAGATTTTCAAAAGATTTTTATGTGAGCGTGTAGAAATGTTCGGTCTACCACCGAGTTCAGTAGCAAGTTTTTCCAATCAAATAAGGTTGGAAGTACATAATATGTATGTGTCATGAAACATTTAAAAAGCATTTTAAAATGTAGTTACAGTGACAGAGTGGCAAACATAAGTTCTGATGTTCGAATCTCGATATTTTCAAGTAAGCAAAACAAGTGACAGTGCTGTTGGATGATGTGACTGGTGTAGTATCTAGATTAGGTCGATTAGTGAGAAAGGATAGATTAGACAGATAGATCAGTATGGCGAAGTCGGACAAAAATTTTTAGGAGTTAATAACAGCCGAACTCAAAAACATGGCCCGTTGACGTTCTCAAAACGACAAAAAACCGGTCAATAAACGGCCATTAAATGGTAAGAAAACGTTTTCAAAACGATCCCTAAACGTTGAAAAAACGATCTATTTAAGATCCTAAAACTTTACGAGTTTTAGGTTCTGAAAACGATCTGTTTCCGGCACGTTAACGGTGCCATTTTCTTGGACCTGGGATGCGTTTTTTGATACACTGATAGGCGAGCCTCTGACATTTGAGCTGCTGGTATTTACGCCTCCGGATACGTGAGCTTTCGACATTTGAGCCTCCCACAGGTGATTCTTACACAAAGAACATGATAGGTTAAAGAACGCACTGATTGATTAATTGTTGGAATTTGATTTGGCTTCCTAGCGAGCTATAAATATATATAGAAAAGTTATTTCTACTCAGTAATTATACTCAGTTTTATGAAACAGTTTGGGAATTTTAAATATAAAATAAAAGGAAAACCTAACTTGTTTTGAGAAACTTCACTAAATTTGATTAGCAAGTTCAAAACTTGCTACTAATAATCAAAATTTCATACTAATAATCAAATTTTAATGCCGTAAAAAATGAAAGTAAAATGGTGGAATAAAAAAAAGTTATTCAACTCACCAATAGTCAATATTCATATCAACGGCAATAGTTCAACCTAATAGATTTAATAGATAAAAGACTTGGACTTAATATGACGGATATACGAGGATCATCTGCCTTTGTTTCAACGTGTTTTCAGTCAGGGTTTTAATAATATTGGAGATTCGGCTTTTTAAGGCTTTTCTGTTTAAGTTTTCATTAAATACTTTATATGTTGTTGAACAATAACAGTTACCTCGGTCATTTTTATGAAAACTTCATTTCATTAAAGCACTCTGTCATTTTTAAGATTTTAATATTCATAATAATGATACATAGAAATGATCGTCTACGAATTCTGAACGACGGTGTGACCAAAACGATTCTTCAAAGATTACTTTATTTTTAAATACTATTCAAAATAATGCATGCAACTAAAACTGTGTCACCGACAAGTGGTTTCACACTACAACGTTATACAAACAAAAAAATCCAGTCTTACCCAAATAAAAACAATGTCCACTTCCTTTCCTTTCTCCTGTTTTCCCTTGACAACACACGGCGTATATATAAGCGAATCGTAATTTTTTTGTACAATTGGTTAGAAAAACGGAAGTGTATCTAGAAAAAGTCTGAAACGTAGATCTTATTCCCCATCGTGTACTGAGTCTGTGGTAAAAATTTCCCAACTAGTCGATTCATTTTGGTTGAGATATCCGAGAAACAACTTGCGTTCTTTGACGCAGAAAACGTTTACGAGACTTTGCGCTATAATGCGCGTGCAAGTACATGTATGGCACAACAATAGATAGATCTTAGCACGAAGAATCCAACTGGACTATTAACAATCAAAGTGCACACAAAAAAATCGCGACAACCTAAAAAAACCGCGGTTTTCTTCCATAAATCAATTCATAGTGATTCAATTCCATATTCAATAATGACCAGTTTTTTTCGAATCCTAAATCAGCGGCCTTTTCGGAATTTTTTATTTCATATTCTTACTCGGCTTGAAAGGAGGATTCAAATGGCGTATGATATGATCATTTTTAGTTGAAATAGTTTGCGTAATCTGTAAACGAAAATCTCGGGCTTCATTTTGCTGTATAATGTAAAATTTTTCCAGAAGTATCCGCAATTGGACCTTGAAACTTTGTCAACATAAAGAACTCACCATCTTCTATCACAAGTGTAAATCTCAAGTTGAAGAAATGATCCCTTCAAATACCAGAACGAAAATCTCGGGCTTCAAAGCGAGTGGGAAAAGCCTTTTTTGTACTTTTTAGCCTTGCAAACCATGTCGTGGAAACGTTTTGCACTGGTTTTCTATATTGTTTCAGAGGCGCTATCTTTTGGCCTCTTCAGTTTTTCTAAAAAGTATATTGCTAAAGAGACAGATCGGTTTTAAGTCTCGGGCTTCATTTATACGTAAATGTGCTTCTTGCTTGTTTGAGAAGGAAGAAGTAAATAAAATCGAACCTGAATCATGCTGCTGAATAGAGAATTCGACGCTCTGCAAAAATGTATTATTGTTTTTAATTTTGTTTCTTTCTCTCCTTAGAAAAAGCATTTTTCTGCCGATAAGTCACAAAAAAACGGGTATTTTTGACTTTTGACCCACGTAGCTCAGTGACCTGACGTCATATCATTGTGAAATTTTCTGTGGTAGTGAGACAGAGTGTAGGGAACAAACGAAAAAAAGGTTTTTCGAAATCGTTCGTAGCAATAGCAACAAGAACAAAAACACGCAAAAAATGTAATTGTCCAAAAAAGTCATGATTCGCTCATATATATTTCGAATGGTGTGTGCATAGATGTAGGAAGTGAAGAGATAAATCAATATAAGGTGAGAAGAAGAGGCGAGAAGGATAGAATCCTTGAGGACAATAGCCGATATCCGTTACAGAGGGAACATACGATATCAGTCAACAAGGGGTGAAATTAATTACCGTGAAAGAATACATATAAGAGAAGAATGTAGCAAAAAAGCAAACGAAGGCCAGAAAAGAAAACATCATATTCAATAAGGTTATTTTATGTACATTTTGAAGCTGTTAGTGTACTGAAAGATCTTCCTTCGCTGCATTTAACACGAGTTGCAATCAATCCAACCAAAATTAGTTATTCATAATTTTTATTTGTAATTAAAGACTAGAATTAGAAAGAGAATAGAAATTAAAATATATGGCACATAAGTATGATTCAACAAACCGTTTTTTCATTTCGAACTGGAGGACTGCGTAGTAGTAGCAATAATGGAGCATATGATAAGCTTATAATCGCTAGAATGCGAAGCATCCATGGAAAACCAACTAAACGAACTGCGAAACCACTCAAGGCAGGTCCTAATAAAAACAACAGAGAGCATGACTTCCTTTTATCTGTTAAAAATTGCACTTCTGTTTCCTTTATGCCAATCAAACCTCGAATGCCTCTGATAGCCTAAATCTATCTCTCAACCCTTCTCAACAAAATTTATTCCCAAGGCACACGCCTCTATGTAACGGAAATTGACCGTTTCTGAGTTTATTCCTAACACAAACTGATTATAGTGTGACTGTACACATTTAAGGGTGAGTAAAAGCAGTTAACCATATTCAAAGAGAGAACAAGAGTTCATAAAGAGATCAGGAAAATGTACGGTTAGAGCTTGAAAATCAGTGGAGCGAGACAAGAGATCATGAACTATAACACAGAAGGATGTAGAGAATAATTTATGAAAAATAACAGTAGATGCACACAATGAGAGAAATTTCTGAAGAAGAGAAAAGAATGAGAAGTCAATGCGAAGAATGGATATATTCTTCACACCCTACCCGCAAATAATCCAGTTCCACCTAGTATTGCACTAACCAGAAGGTCCACGAAGGTAAGAAAGCCAGTAGCCTATCTCAATACATAATTCTCACTCACACAGTTCTCAGCATATCACCGACAAAAAATTAAAGTTCATTTAGAGTTAAAGAAAAGTGCTTTTCGTATTCAGCACACCTGATAACCTGAAAATTTTCTATTTTTAGCGAGGGGTACCGCCAAAAAGTTGTTTTTTTCAAAATTTTCAAAATTGTATAATTTTTACCATGGAGATTTTTCTGCGTCAATTTGATTGAAAATTTTTCTTAAATTTCTGGCGATACCCCTCGCTAAAAATAGAAAATTTTCCAGGTTATCAAGTGTGCTGAATACGAAAAAGCACTTTTGTTTAACTCGAAACAAACTTTAATTTTTTTATCGGTGATATGACTATCTTGTACATGTGAAATCAATTTGGACTGCCAATCGACGCAAGAAAAGATATATTAGTCTCACAGCTGTAAAGACAGCCCACCATTCAATACCAATTAAAATTTTAATTTCATATATAGACTACTTCATTTTTTGTCTCACATTTTCCCTTTTTTTGCCGTTTTTCAGTTTAGTTTTTCTTCATCGTGCAGGAGCACTGATTTTCGCAGTGGAGGGGGGAAGATATCCTAGATTCTTACAAGGATCCGCCAGGAATCTTACTGGACAGGTATCAAATAGGGCCCGTGCAAAAGTCTTATCAGATTCTTACTGGTTTCTTAAAAGGGAGGGAGTTAACCTCCTCCAAATCTGTCCACAAATTATGCGAGTTTGTAGAGTGCGTTGAATACTATGTACCTTCAAGAAATTTCAGCGGTCCTATGAATATTGATGAAATCTTTTATGAATTTTTAACGTTGGACTCTCGTCAAAACTCTCGGTTTAGCGGCTGATTTTCGATATTTCGGAAGTTGTTCAGGAATAATGACAAAATTTTGATTCAGGTATGCTTGAATGCACAATTATTCATAGTTATCATGTATGTGGAAAAAAGGAAAAATTTCTATCTAATAGACTTTTTATAAATGTTTTCTCTAAAATTGATGCCAACTGACTGTAGTCTGGTCGTTTGCATTCTTTTTTTCTTCGATCTCTTTCCATCAAGTATAACTACTGATATATCATTTGAAGCAACCACTCAAGGTCTACTTAATCCTGTATTTTATTTTTTAATTGGAATGGATGTGGAGTTTTTTCGAGATTTTTTCATATATTGGCTGTATATGAGTTAAAAGCCTATTAAAAAAGAATGCCGGTAGCTATTTCTTTAACAACTTTTGGACAATACAGTTCGTAGACTTGCGGCTTACAGCTTTGTATACAGGAGATAACTAGCTGCCAGTTAACATAAAAATATCTTAGAAAATACCACCTGCAGGCGGTATATCTTATTAGTCTTTGAAAGAGTAGGTCGTGATTGCAAGATCTATCAGAGTAATCCGCTATTTATCTTATATGGATACGATAGCCTAAATGTTCTCTACAAAATGGGGGCTAAGCGACATCTTAATCTTTTGTGGTTTAAGTGAGACACCTGATTTTCTGAAAGCCCCGGCTTACTAAATATCAGTTGGTGCTTTTCTGATCCAGAAAGTTGTGGATTATTAGCTTCAATATCGTTCGATGTATTGAACTCGCCATTCGACTTTAAATTCCAATTCCTTTCTTCTAATTGCAGATTGTAGGAAACCTGTTTCTCTTCAAATAAAAAGTTTTTCAACTTTGTGCGATATTCTGATGAATAACAACAAATTGAAAGTCGTTTTATTTTGAAGAGCTAGGATCTTTCTTGCTATTAGAATAAAAAAATTTAAATCTTAAGTTGAATGGCGAAGTTCAATGAATCGAATAATACCGAAAAGAGTACAGAAAATTGTCTATTTTCAGATCATCTATGCTAAGGACATGACATCATCTGATGTATAAAACAACAGCGATTAATCGTATTTTCACCATATAATGTTTGTGATATCATTCATGTAAAGTCTCTTACGTACCAACGGTAAATGAAATACAGAAAGCAGAATCAGCAAGAGCATAAATATTCCCATATACAGATGAATAACGTAAATCAACAAGAAAAGCCATTGCTGGCATCATTGATGCAGAAATTGTGCCCAGTCCAAAGCCCAAACAAATATTTGGTGCTATTAATCCATAAAATGACTTTGCTTGTGGTATCTAGGTATTAAAATAAATATTAATCAGTAAAGCAAAACACTTTTTCTTATTTAACTAAAAACTTTCAACTTACAATGATCAAGGAAACAGACATTATTATAAATCCAATACAGCAATATAACCATCTAAATACGAATTTATCACAAGTACAAGTTAGTTTGAATTAGAATTTCTGTGTCTTAGTATTTTTCATATCTTAAGAATCTATTTTAGAGAAAAATATACATAGTTAACAGTTACAATACATCATCTGATAGGCGACATACGAGCCAAACATTCATAATGAACAAATTAATTAAAGCTTAGTCTTAGTAACGAGACTTTTCCGAATTGGGCACGATGACTTATTTTAGATTTATTTTCTTAATTTAAATAAAATGAAACTAAATAAGATGATTTTCGGTATAATTTGAATTAAAGATCGGCACGGCTAGATAACTCGCTACCGGGGGTGAAATTCCATGACGAAATTTTGATACTCGTTTAACGAAAGCACATGCGGTGCTGTGGACAGTCTAGAATTGTAAAGTAAATGCTTCTCGACAAAATGAGACAGAGCTCTAAGCGTTTCTTTGTTTAAATAATAAATGGTAAATATTAAATGATACTTTTCCAAAATGAATCTTTGGAAGGGTATTTTGTATGTTAAAACTTGAATCGATCAGACTCGAAAAACAAAAACTCAAGTCTGAGTCCTTTAAAAAAATCTCCAGCCCGAATCCGCCAAAAAATCTTCCAATCCGGACTCGGACTCGGCGATGCCTGATCACTAAACTATAAAAAGTTTTAATAACTCCGCTATTTCTTAACCAAACTTCAAGGTTGTTTTTCTGTTTGATAGAGAAACGTTCCAAGTTTTATTTCATACGATTGGAAACTCTTGTTAATATTTGAAAAATGTTTGGGTTTACTATAGTGGAATTCAGATACTTCAGGACTTGTTTTTAATAAATTATGTACTGCAAAACTTTTTGAAAAGAACATAAATAATTTTTAATATTAAAATAAAAGTAGATGATGACGGACGGCTTTCACATAATGAAATAATAATTTGCTTTTGTTTAAAAATGACCGGTTGATGTGGATTTCTATTTAATTTCGACAAGCTCAACAATCTTTACGCACTATTGCAGTACTTACACAGAAAATACATGTTGTAAGTTTTATTATTTTTCCGTATCATCTTTTTTTACACAAAAATTTTCTATCGTACGAAATAAGACTTGGAACGTTTCTCTATCAAACAAAAAATAACCTTAAATTGATTAAGAAATAGTGGAGTTATTAAAACTTTTTATTGTCTAGTGACTTATGAGACACCCTGTATGCTTGCGTGTTCTCTCCTATGAAAAACATTCAACTTACTTTCCAGTTTTGTTGGGAGGAGGGGAAGCAGCGTGAGAGTGAATTCGAAAAGTAGTTTCAGTCAAAATGCTGTTTAACGAGTGATATAAATTTTTTTTGTCATACTCATGCTTAAGGCTCTTGGCGACCGTTTTGTCCTTATCGTCCTTGTCAAAACTTGTAGAGCAAATCCGTTCGGGTCGGGTCCGGGCCAACCATTATGATCCGATTCGAATTTATACTATGAACTTAGACTAGAGGATGCTTCAAGGACCAGCTCCAACGTGGTTCTACGACAAGATACTGTATCACAATGTGCAAAATTGCATAAAAATTTCCGCTAAAGATTAGATTATCGAAAGAATCAAGTAAGATTTGGAAGCAATTTCTCATAAATATCTTTCTGAAAAAATTAAATTTTTGACAATTTCCGAATTCTTGTCAAGATCTTACTGAAATTTTTCAAGATTCTTCTAAACGGCGTACGTAATTTTTGTCAAACCCTTGTAAGACATGTTTCTTATACTTTAATATTGAGACATTTAAACTAACAATTTTAAACATTTTTTTGCAAGCTTTCGAAGCTTCTCGCTTCATCATGAGGCAAAATTTTTAAGTAGTACGAGAAAAACAGTGTATATATCTATGTAACGTGAACGAATACGTGTCTTTTTCTACTGGTCATTTGTTTTGAATCACTTTCCATTTTTTTTGTTTTATGGCGAAATCTCTTGATAAATCACATCTTTTACCTTCCATTCAAAACAATAACGTTTTAAATGAGATTTCATTTATAGATTTAAAGATGAGATTGAATGCCAATGCATGGAGTTTTTTTGTCAACAATGTTTCATTGATCTCTCTTTTTCTTTCGTGCTTTTCAAATGTCAATACGTTTGGTTCATCAAAATTCATGCTACGTTTCAATGTTCGAACATGATCTACCACAGTCGAATGCACTTCTCTCTTCTCCAAGTTTTCAACATGTTTTTCCACTCTTGCTTCTACACTTAATCTCGTTTGACCTACGTATACTTTATCGCAATTTTTACACTCAACAGCATAAGCCACGCCAACTTTCCTGAAACTATCTTCTTTCATCTGTCTACGAAATTCTTGTCCAATTGTTCTATGCTTTTTGAATATTATCCGGTATTTCACATTTGCATTTCGTAAAACTGTTGCCAATTTTCTACAGAATATAAATAACTCATTTCCTAAATAACTAAGTATCAGGTTTATTGTGTCCTTATCATCCTGTTTCAATATATGTTACATGGTGAGACTGCTCTTTTGCGTATTATTAGTTCCTTGTCTATGTTTCTCTTTCTTGATGCCCTGTTTTACTGTGCTTTCTACGATTCTTTTTGGGTATCCATTGTTTACCAGTACTATTGTCAGATACTTTAGTTCAATATCCAGAATCCGAGAAGTTGACAAATCCATAAGGATTTGCTAGAATCAGTGAGATGCTTAGATAGTTTCATATAACTAATTGAATACCAGGTACCATCACTGGTATACCAGTGTAACACATATCAGCCAACGAAGGTTGACACATTAGTGATGAGATACTAGAAGAAATTTCGTAAAATTTTATCATAGAGCTATATTATAATTATAAATTGTCTATCTACAAAAGAAAGGTGAGTGGGGAATTGGCAGGGACTCTCTGTGGATAGCACATGTTGTGAACTATCCAGGAGGAAGAAGTTCGAGGGCGACTTCTCGAGGAATTTCTTGCGGAGAGTCGAATAGGGTATATCAGCGGAAAGCTGTGGCCTAATTGCATCACACATTATATTTTATCAATGACAAGCATCAAGACAAAAAATACTTTCGAATACTTGACGTGATCATATATTCGATTTCGAGAAAATTCAATGAAAATTCTCGTCTTACACCTATTAGAACGACGATTGACAGCAATATGATATCTTAGAAACACACACGTAGTAAGTAGATTTTAAGTCAATGAAGTTGGGTTGTTCATTTCTTGGGTTTGGGTACAGAAGTATAGTTTCAGCTCTATGGATCATTTCTTGGGTTGTGTCCTACGCTGGTGCCGTTGGAACATCCCCGATCACTTCGAATGCACACTAAAAGAAACTGCTTACCTAAGGCAATTAGTATATATGGATCTTGTAATAACGTTGTGATCGGCGTGTCATTTTGCTGTGTTTGTTTAATTGAATCTGGTGGCGCGATAATAGTTAATCGCAACACTAAAAGTGAGTAACAACTGAATGAAAATATGATCGATTGATTGACTCTTTATTAACCAGAGTGTGATATTTTCTAATTCTGTAATATTCGGGCATTATTATTGCAAAACTCAAATAGGTGTTTGGTAAATATCTGACTAATTAGAATCTATATGAAAATCCAAAATGGCTGCCCAATAGGTTCGAAAAGTTAACAAACATTGACTTTTCCTACGCTAAGCAGGCATTATTCTCGGAGACCTTTGAGAAAAGCATGATGCAGACCAAAGGTGGCTGCCCTACGATTTTTTGCTGTACGTACCAGTACATGGAAGCTAAAAGCTTGCAGTAGAGGATACGGTACTTGTCACCTCTAATGCAGAGTCTTATTTCTTACTCAAAATAAATTATTCAGATATTTGAGGCATATCCGGTATTGTATAAGTTGTTTTACCGATTGTCATTGTATTATCCTTAACATCTTTACTATGTGAATAATGTACATTGTCTATCATTTGATAAACAATGTGACGAGGATCTTAGAGTACATATTGCTTTTGAATGTTACATTGATACACGATACTGACGTGTGAAAATATCCTTCTTTCGATAGAAACATTACTCTCTCGTCAGTCTCTGACACACCAAACATTTCTTTATTCATGCAAAATTTTTCTCTGTTTACATCCGTCGAATAAGACCAAGCAGGCCAATATAAGAAATGGTGTTGGCTTGCCAAAAAAATAGTATAAAACACCTCCGTAAAATGGTCCAACTAAAAAGTATAGGTTAATTACTTAATTGAACATCCAACATGCAACTTAATTTTTTTCAGATACAAACCGAGAATTCCAAGTGCCAGTCCACCCATTCCGATTCCGATAGCTCGTCCACGTTCTGCATCATCAGTATATCGTACAGCTAGCATGCCAAGGCCTAAAATAGTAATAATAAACGCTATACATTAAAAGATAAATTCGATGAAGGTATGTTTTAGGACCTGAAACAGTAGAAAACGATGAACCAATTCCCTGTATTGCTCGGGCAATAAATAATCCTAAATAGGTTTTTGCAAACGCAAATGCTAAAAGAAAAATACGTTACTAATGCGATTTTCATTTTAGTCAAATCCTATAATTATGACATTGAATGAGTATTGCCACTTCTGTGAGCTAAGGTACTAAGACGATAGATTCTCCCTGCTTGTGTGGAAAATGGCACCACTTCATTAGCTGAGAGACTCATATTGAAAAGCCCCTCGGATAACCGTGATGAAGACAGGCCCAGGTGATTTTTCTGCAACATAAATCTGGAAAAATCTTTGCAGTAACTTTGCAGATTCTGCAAAGGGATTCTGCAGATTTGAAGCAGATCTGCATTGCAGATGTGCCAAGATTTGACCAAAGAT